CGGGCTTAGACAGCTTATCTACTCATCTTGCCAAAATACATATTTTAATTAGCAAAATGTATAAAAGCCCAAAGTTTATGCAAGAGTATATCAATTTAAGTGGAGGTTGTAGGATACCACTAGATATAGCCACTAGATGGAACAGTATGTATTTAATGATAACTACTGTTAATAAAGTAATATTTTATTATTTGATATTTTTTATAATCATATTTTAATAGAATATAGATGCCATCATTAATATAAGTAGGCGATATTTACCCAATAAAGATAATTTGAACCAGGAGGAGGCTAAGTTATTGATTGAGCTAGAGTCATTTTTATATCCATTCTATAAAATCACGTGTGAAATAAGTTCGGCGTCATCATCTACAATTGGGATGTCAGCCTTATATTTAGATAATATAGCGAATTCTTTATCGCTTAATGCCCAATCACATAAAAATATAATTATAAAAAGTGCTGCTAATATAATGAAAGAAAAATGTAATATTTATATCGAATATTTCACCACATTTTCAAATTATGCATCATCATTTCTTGATCCAAGAATTAAGAAAACATTTTTACCAAATTTCATAAATAACCTTGGGTTTTATGAAAAATTCAAAAAAGTATTTGATGATTATGGTACATCGAAATCAATATATGATTTCGAGGAGGAGGATAATAATGAATCCAATCTAATGTCTGTCAATATTCTGAATGAGTTAAGAAGGTAAATATAAATACTTAATTATATAGAATACTCATAAAAACTTCTAACAAACATTTTTGAAGCTATATTGGAGTGACTAAATTTAAATATTATGCTTACATTAAACAAAAATTATGATAGTTATTTGAGTTAATATAAATATTTATTAAACATTTAAAAATAGAGACTTAAGAACTTATAAAATTAATAAAGCATATAGTTGCAAAATAGGCATTTTTAAAATATGTTTGTTACAAGGTTTTACAATGGATTTGATTATATAATAAATAGTTAATTTAATTTAAATATTTTATATTAAGGAAATCATACATTATGCCAAATTTAGACGGAGAAGAAATCGAAGAATATTTAACAGATCCGGTTGCTCAAACCTCTGTTGATATTATAGATTGGTGGTCTCGAAACGCTAATCGTTTTCCAAAGCTGTCGACAATGGCCAAGGATTACTTATGCGAACAAACTGCGTCCGTAGCAAGCGAACGTATTTTTTCTCGAGCCGGCGCAACCATTACTAAGAAGAGGAATAGGATGTCAGCCTCAACGTTAAAACAATGCCTATGTATAAATTCATGGGATGTTAATGTTTTAAATTTGCGTGACGAATTTTTTGTATAATTTGTTATTTTTCAATTATTTGTTATTTGATTTCATATAATTTTTATTTTTTATTTATGAAAATAATAAAGATATGAAAATGTGCCTTATTTATTTTGCATTTGTAAATTTTTACTTATAAAATATAAGAGCCTACTTGCGATAAATGAATAATAAATATATCATTTTTAAAAAAATAATAGTTAATATTTCTAAAAAGAAAAGGGGGGGGGGGGTTTATAGATAAAAAATTTTTAATTCCTAATTAGTAGTATCTCTGAAGATCTTAATGTTTTCCAAATTTTTTCTATGATATTCATTCTTAAGTATGAATAATTGGATTTTGCATAAGTCATCCACACAATTACCAAAGAAAAAAAATCAATTAAAATTTATAATGATGCAATAGTGGTAGAAAGTATTTAGGGGGTTTAGCAAGGCCCGCTAACAATCGCTTTAACAATCGTGATATGTAAACAAAATATTTGTAAAACTCAGAAATTATGAAAAATAATTTAAAATTTGTCAAGAATTATATCCATGATCTTAAATCAAATAATAATTAAAATCTTGTGTTTCAAATCAAATTTGATATAAAAAATTTATAGTAGTTACATATTACTTAATATTTTTATAAGATTAGAAAAAATATATCTGAATGTCTTAAATTTAAAAATGAGTTCGCTCAATTTTCCCTGTATTTTCCTATTATCTAGCAATCCTTTAAAAAGTTTCAAAGGATATACCACTCATATCTAATACCAAATATTATAAACTAAGTTCAAGTTAAAAAAAAAAGAATGAAATATAATAGCAGTATCAATATTAGAGATTTAGAAATATTTTTCTAATTATAAAAACTTTTTACTAGTCTGAAAATAAGTATAATTTATTTTATATTTCTAGATTTTTAAGGGTGGAGTCAAAAAGTAATGAAAGAAAAAATTTCTTACTGAATCCAAATATTTTATAACATCTTTCCAATATCAAAATTTTTTTAAATAGGCTTAAAACAATTTTAAATAAAATTTTCCTCATTGGAATAAAATATAATTGCAGTGACACCTTATTACTAGATTCAATGGTTTTAGAAAATCTATTAAATATCCAAAACTTTTTACAAGACTTTAAACATAAATAAAATGTTTTTTTAATTTTTACATTTCAAGCGTGGTGATAAAAAAAATAAAATTTTTGAACTTTATAATATTAAAAACCACTAAGATTAAAAGAAAGTTTAAAAAAACTTAAAGATGAAGATTATGACAATTGTCACTTTTCTAAGGTACATATTCACTGAAAATTTAATTTAACATGTTTACAATATATATTTTTACCTATTTGCTTCAAAAAAATTCGACAAAACTTAAAAATGACGATTATGACAATTGTCACTTTTCTAAGATACACATTGACTGAAAATTTAATATAACATGTTAATATATATATTTTTACCTATTTGGAAATTCGAAAAAACTTAAAAATGACGATTATGACAATTGTCACTTTTCTAAGCTACATATTCATTGAAAATTTAATATAACATGTTAATATATATATTTTTACCTATTTGCTTCAAAGAAATTCGAAAAAACTTAAAAATGACGATTATGACAATTGTCACTTTTCTAAGGTACATATTCACTGAAAATTAAATTTAACATGTTAATATATATATTTTTACCTATTTGCTTCAAAGAAATTCGAAAAAACTTAAAAATAACGATTATGACAATTGTCACTTTTCTAAGGTACATATTCACTGAAAATTTAATTTAACATGTTTACAATATATATTTATACCTATTTGCTTCAAAAAAATTCGACAAAACTTAAAAATGACGATTATGACAATTGTCACTTTTCTAAGGTACATATTCACTGAAAATTTAATATAACATGTTAATATATATTTTTACCTATTTGCTTCAAAGAAATTCGAAAAAACTTAAAAAAGAAGATTATGACAATTGTCACTTTTCTAAGGTACATATTCACTAAAAATTTAATTTAACATGTTCACAAAATATATTTTTACCTATTTGCTTCAAAAAAATTCGAAAAAAAGATGACGATTATGACAAATTTTAACGCAAGCCCACCCAGCAAGCTGACCCAGCAAGCCGACCCTGCAAGCCGACCCAACAAGCCGACCCAGCAAGCCGACCCAGCAAGCCGACCCAACAAGCCGACCCATCAAGCCGACCCATCAAGCCGACCCAACAAGCCGACCCAACAAGCCGACCCAGCAAGCCAACCCATCAAGCCGACCCAACAAGCCGACCCAGCAAGCCGACCCACCAAGCCGACCCAACAAGCCGACCCATCAAGCCGACCCATCAAGCCGACCCAACAAGCCGACCCATCAAGCCGACCCATCAAGCCGACCCAGCAAGCCGACCCAGCAAGCCGACCTAACAAGCCGACCCAACAAGCCGACCCAACAAGCCGACCCAGCAAGCCGACCCATCAAGCCGACCCATCAAGCCGACCCACCAAGCCGACCCAACAAGCCGACCCATCAAGCCGACCCATCAAGCCGACCCAGCAAGCCGACCCACCAAGCCGACCCACCAAGCCGACCCACAAGCCGACCCAACAAGCCGACCCATCAAGCCGACCCAACAATCCGACCCAGCAAGCCGACTCATCGGGTCGGCCCAATGGGTCGGCTCATGTGGCCCATTGGGTCGGGTCGGGTCTGATCTATGGCTAAATGGGTTGGCTCGGGTTTAAGGTCGTTTTTTTCGGCTCAAACCTTGCTGGATTTTCGGCCAAGCCGACCCGACCCAGCAATTTAACAACACTACGCTCAAAAATCTTCAAAGAAGATCTTTTGTACAACTCTGGAGACAAATGACAATCCGGATGTCGGGGAGGGAGCAGAGACCGGAAGGAGAAGCGTGGGAGAGACAGCCATCAGTGAAGATTCGGTGATAGCAGCGCATGGTGAGTCCGGAGAAATAAACACGATGGAGTCGTGGAATGAAGAGTATCTTTCACATAAATTTTTGGACAGGTTGGAGTTTGGCATGTCAGATTCGGAGTTGGAGTTTGTGTAGGGCCCGGAGGAAGGGGGATGAAGAAAGAATTAGGGGGTGAACATGTGGCGAAAGTGGAAAAATAATATTTGTAAAACTTGATATAATATTGGATTATTGTTGTTTTTGGATATATATATTGTTATTATAAAAAAATAGAAGTAAAAAAAAATAATATTTGTAAAAATTTATATAATATTAGATTATTGTTGTTTTTTTAGGATATTTTTATTACGATATAGATATATATATTGTTATATAAAAGATTATTATCATAAATTGGAATTAGTTTTTTTTTCTTGGAAAAAATAAAGAAGAAAAAAATTATTGTTTTTGAAAAAAGAAGACAAAATTTTGGATAGAAAAATTAATTAAAATTAATAAAAATTTCAAATTATTTTTGATTCAAAACGCTCAGGTGTCTTTATACCACACGCTCAGGTGTCTTTATACCAGCCAGAAGCTCAACATATCTTTTTGATCCTTATAGTTATTGTTAAATAAGTCGATGTTATTATATGATAATTCTTCGGTTATAAAAAATTATGTTGGCTTAAATATTTTTATTTTTAAATTCCAGAAACATTACATATTGGTAGTGGTCTATCTCATAAATATATTACATTTAATATTTTATTAGTGGAAATTTAGGGTATTATTCTAAAATTAGTAGCACTTCAACCGCGATTTATGAAATTTCCATATAAGGACTATTTTTAGAGATTTTTCATTAATTTTTAAGTTAAATTTATACCAAACTCTATAATGTCACTCTCAAGAAAACGATATGAATTAGGTATTACAACGTATAACAATTTAACAGCAAAAAAATCAATTGTAAATTTTTGAACATCATCTTCTAATATGTAACATTTTAATTATTTTTATTAGAACAAACATATCCCTCTTTACCTAGAACGACCCGCGGTCAGAGCATTGTTTTGGGAGGAGATCCCAAGGGAAAAAACTTCCTTTATACTTATGGAAACAGTGTGATTATTCGTAATATTGAAGTAAATATTTTATTGTTTTTAAAAGGTATTCATAAATATATAACTTATATTTTAAAGTATTTTGAATAATGATAAAACATTGGTATAATTTGTTATCATTATTTTATTTTACCTATAATTTGAATATCTTATTTTAATATCTAAAATAGGAACAATTCTTATACATTAAGAATATATCTATATCTTTTAAAATTTTCAGATTGCAGTATAATAAATCAGATATCCACATAGTTTATAATATTATCTATTCTTTGCCAAAGAAACCTATAAAATTTTCAATAATTTTGTATTTTATGGAAACCTAATGCCTAAGTTTTGTAAATTTCATAAATATGTTTGGTAATATTTTTGTTTCTATATTAAAAAAAGATTTCATGTTTTTTGATAAAATTTTGAAAGTTTTTGAATTTAATTTTTGTTGTTTTGGACAAAGCCTTATATAAAATAATTAAATGTTAGTATTATATATGATTTTTTGCTTTATCATAAAAAATGTCCTAGTATCTGTCATGTTATTGGTTAAATATTTTATTACAATTTTAAAGCTATTGTCCAATAGAAATAGGGAGAATCCTGATATATCTTCATTTGTGGAGACATCATTTTACTTTTTTACTAAAATAAACTAGTTTATTGATATTGTTTAAAATTAATTATAAAATAAAAAAATGTTTTATTAAATATAACAAAATCATTAAACATTAAGAATAACTGGACAAAGTTTGATGGGTGCTAAAATTTATATTCTTGTTCATATCCTCTTAAAATAATAGTAAATCATCCATTTTTTCTGCAATCTGTATCATTTGGAAACTTTGAAAGTTCATACTTTTAAATTTGAAGCCAGTCCAATTGAGTTTGATAATTTACTAAGGCTGGGATTTCTTCTTCAGCATGACTAATATTAATTAGGGTTGTGCCAATATTATATCGGATCAACTGCACCAATATTTAGCATTTTAAAAAAATATTGGATAAACTGATCTGATCTGATATTTTTTTATTGTTTTGGATTATTTTATGATTGTAAATATAAATATATCATCTTTTTTTATTTTATAAATATTCATAATAATAAATTAAAAACAATTTATTTAACAATTTATTTGTTGTAATGTTTATAAAAATAGTTAAAAATTTTACACTATTTTTTATTATATTATCTGCACAGGCGCGTACGCAGGAATTTGGTCTGGGGGGGGGATAATAAATTTTTTTAAGAAATATTGTTTTTTAAAAATATCAAGCATAAATTTATTATGACTAATAACTATTTCTAATACACAATTTTAAATTTATGTGAATTATAAAAAAATTATATATAAAGAATCACTTAAATGACCCAAAATAGAAATTTGAATTTTTTGAGCCTTTACACAAAAAGTTTCTTAGGAATAATTGCATTTATATGTTATATATTTACAATGTAAAATCCAATCTTCGTTGTGATTGAGCTAATTTTTCAATTATCTCATCCTTGCTTGTCGTCAAATGCCTATGAATATTCAAAAGATCCAAACCTTTCAATCTACTTTCAGATGTTGTACTTCTTAGAGACCTGGAGGCCCGGCCCCCGGGCTGGGCAGTATTTTAATTTTTTTAAATATACCCAGGCCGGGCCCTAAATTTTTTTAAAAAAACACCCATACCGGGCCTGAAAATTTTATTTTAAAAAAAGCTGGGCCGGGCCGCTGAAAATTTTTAAAAAAATCTAGGCTGGGCCATGAAAAATCTTTAAAAAAAATCCGGGCCTTGCCCTGCAAATGGTACTTCTGCAGGCCTCTGTTATTCTTTTAAAGAATGTTCTCTCATTAGTTTACTAATTGTAAGAGTTTATAAACCCTTTTAATACATTGGGAATTTAATCTAAAATGTGTTTGAAATAATGCAGAGCATCCATACCATTTTTTGGGACTATATCAACCATTGTTAATCTTATAAACATAGTTATTCAGCTAGTAAGGCATCATAAAATACTTTAACATCTTCATAATAAAAATCTAACAAATATTTTTTTTTCTATCACCTGAAAAAGGTTGGGAAGGCTTTTGTGGAAGTAATATTTGCAGATTAGTAAGTGCTGCATGATTAAGTAAAAATTTATTTATTTGGATTATAAATGTATCTGTATTTAAGATATACTCTTCTACTGATCCTATATTAATGTTTTAACGATGAGCTTGCCTTGCTACAAGTCGAGGGAGACAAATATTAAACACGTATAGCTCTGCTTTTGACTCAACAATAAAATATGAAATTCTTCATCAACATTAGCCCTAATTTCCTTGAGTTCTGATAAAATGCTCTCCGCTATTCTCATCTTCTTAATCAAGTCAATGTCATGTTTTTGAAAAGTATTACTTAAAATAGTTGTATAATTAAATAATACATTCTAATGAGAAATAAAATTTGGAATAAGCATTGAATCCAATAATTTTCTTGCTTCTGATGAAATATTTCTTTCAAGCCATTGTGATATTTCAGTAATATCATTAATTCGGCTCTTCTAACTCCATAATAGCTGTTACTGCTTGATGGTGGAGACTCTATCTCGTTGGACAAACTTGCAATTTCTTTCTCCCTGTTGGACAAGGAGTTTCAGAGATAATTATTAATTGACTAGAAATTTAGATAAATATTACGCCACTAAAATTTGAAAATAATAGGTAAATAGGAAAACTCGAAATCGAAATTAATTGATAAAATAACTTAGTCGATGAATGTGATAAATAAATGTAATTAAATATATATATATATGAGATAGGAATAAATATTAACAAATATAAATTAATATTAACAATAATATTTTTGAAAAATATATCTGGCATCTGCATTTTTTGGCTTTGGGGGGGATTTGTCTCCCTGCCCCCCCCCGCTGCGTACGCCAATGTATCTACAACAAGAAAGATATCTTAAAATATTAGTGTTGTTAAACTGCCAATTTAGTCAATTTTTAATCGTTTAACTTAAGATTTTGGCCAAAAGTAAATTACTCAAGCTTATTGATTTTGCCCACGGATGATAAGGTTTGGACGTCTATTGACAAAATTTAGAGGCTTAGGTAATAATATTTTGCGAAAATCTTGATTTAGTCTTTTTTTAAAATCTGTTAAATGGAGCTGTTTAACAAAACTCATTCACCCCATAAACATTGTAAATAGAAAAAAAAATTAAATACACTTCATTCGTGAAAGTTAGTTGGTTTTTATAAAAATAAGGTAATGAAATTTTTATTACATTGATACAAATATAGATTGGTAAATAAAATCAATATAAATATCGATATTCGGATCGGCATTTTTAGTAATATCTGATCGGTGAAAAATTTGTGGATCGACACAGCCCTACAAATTTTATTATTCCTCGTATACTTGTAAAATTTTGATGAAATTTTTTTCATAAAGTCCATTGCAAAAAAAAATCATGGCAAAAAAAGAATTTTTTTTTTCTAACCATTTTTTTTGTTTGTTTTACTTTTGACATAAAATGAATGAACAATGCTACTAAACTATTTATTCATTAAAAAATATGATGGAATGGAATAAAGAGGACAATACAAATTAATAATTGTGTTTTTTGGTTGGTAAATAGAAATTGTATTTTTCATTTATAATTTAAAACCCTTGAACTATTTTTTTTTGTTTTGCAATTTTCGTAAGTAATGATAATAAAAATTTTTTTATCTGAGAATTTTTTTCTTACCGTGTACACACATAATTGATAACACTTAAATTATAAATATATGTCGGAAAAAATTGCTTTTTAGATTTTATTATAAAGGTTACATTTTTTTCGGCACCTAAAGAAATTATTTTTAAGATGAGTATACTGTTTAATTAGCATGTTTAAACTTAAATTTATGCCTCTTTTTTAACTTTATTTAACATCTGATCCAATCGAAGACGAGACATCATCTATCAATCAATTAACCGTAAGCTAATAAAAGAAAACACCCACTAATTAAGAAGTTTTGAAAAAATTTAATTGAATATTTTGCCATTAGACAAAAAATGGTTTGCTAAATTTTTTAGCGATTTTAGATACAACATACTATTTAAACACAAATATAAGAAATATGGCTGGATAAAAATTTAATCCTTTATTTTCTTCACTGATTATTTTTCTTTAAATAGCTCGTTTACAACTTTTCTCTATAGACATGATAATAAGAAATTAGCGTGTTACCTTCCCGTTCCTATAAAAATAAAATTATTTCGTTCCACGACTTGTCCTAACTGAATATTATCTCATTTTATTTCTTTTAATCTACCATTTTAGTCTTTTTAAAAAATTTTTGAAGATTTTTTTTTCAAACTCTATTTCAAAGTATTATAAGACATTTTCTAAAAGATTATCATTTAAGGTTTGCACTAGAGGTCTGCATTGGGCGGGATTTCGGCCGGCCCGCCCGCCCACGCCCGCTTATCTAAATAGGCGGGCGGATGGGCGGGTAAAAAAAATTTTTGAGAATGGGCGGGCGGGTTAAAAAAATCTATAGGCGGGTTGGGCGGGCGGGTTAAGAAATTTAAACAATGAGCGGGCGGGTTAAGGAAATTTAAAATTTTAGTTCAAAAACAAACTAAAAAAAATAATTGTTTAAATGATCTATAACAATATTTCTTTTTTTATTGTACCAATCTTTTTTTTTTAAGTGAAGAACATTTACCTAACTATATTATGTAATAAACACAACAAAACTTTTTTCTTAGAATAAATAAACATTTTTGTCTATTAAAAATTTCCTTTTATGGGAATGTAATAAAACTTTTCTAGTGCTTCTTCCGAACGCGGATTTAGCATTGTTTGAAGATTTTTAGAACAAAGAAGAACGTGTTTGAATCCAGAATATGTCGATTCATTATTATTTTTGCATTATAATTACATATAATATTAATTTTACATTTATATTTTTTTCATAAATATTCAATTTGATCAAATAAATTGTCCATAATTTACATTGATTATTTTTATAATTAATTTCCTAAATTATAAACTTTTTGTAGAGATGTAATGCTGAAATATTTTTATTAGATGTGCTTAAAAAAAATGAAAGAATGACCATAATTAAATTTTATAAGTGGGCGTGGGTTAAAAATTTTTTATAAATAATGGGCGGGCGGGCATATATTTTTTTGAAAACTATGGGCTGGCTGGGCGTGCGGGTTAAATTTTTTTCAAACATTCAAAAGCCCGCCCAATGCAGACCTCTAGTTTGCACATTAATATAAATTTTATCCATCGATATTTAAAGTCTATATTATATTATTTTTAAGGTCTTGAATCGCTAAATTTTCTTAAATGCGAAATATTTTACTTTGAGATTTTTAGTATTATATATTAATATTAAATGTCTAATTTTAATTATTTTTCTTGTCCACATGAAATTGAAATGGCTTAAATATCTCTCCTTTTTATCTTGATTTTTGACCCTTTAAAGGTCGTTTGCTCTGCTATTTAAAATTGTATTATATTGACCATAACCTTCAACTCCATAAAGTGAGATTAGTGGTGGTATTTAAAAAAAAGGCAGAACAAAAAAAGATAACCAATATTAAAAAATAAAATAAAAAATAGTAAAAGCAAAACAAAAAACGGACTAACCCAATGAATTGGCCAAAAATATTATGCACGCCTGGAGGCTTTACTCATAGAAGACAGAAAACTTAGACATCTAAAATCGCGAGTCTTGTGTAATATTATTTTGGCTAATCTTAATTAAAAATTGGCGAAATCGTGCCGTTAACAACACTTATAGAGGCAAATTTAATAGTTCTTGATTTTTTTGTTTTATTTTTTTCCCTCCTAGGTCAATAAGGGTTTTGCAAGGTTTAAAAAAATGATCCGATCTTTTGATATCAGTTTTCTGGTTGATCTTTTAATTTAATATCGGTTCGGTCAAATTGTTTCTGTCTGGTCCTTGACCTTCACTAAATAATTCAAAATAATGAGTAAAAAATATTATATGAAAAGCAAACTGGTATTAAAGGAACAAAAACGAACATTTATTAATATTCTATTTATAATTAATTATATAATAAATTGAGGTAAAATTTTAATATTTTTCGGAACAATCCGTTCCAGTGGCGGTATCTAACTTTCCCCAAGTTCCATTTCCGAAACGTATCCAGAACGTTCGGTTCCATGTTCCCCGATCAAAATTTTTAAAACATTAAAAACATAATAAAATGATCTGCCGGATTAAAATGATCGATTTATGAGGCATTGACTGGTAAATGATGCCCTTCTTTTCTTTACATTTTAGGGTACATTTGTTATAGAGCCCGAGTATCTAAACCATTTAATAAAATACAATCAAAAATATTTAAATGATATTTTTAAAAACCCTGGCCCAGCCTACAAAGTTTTAAAAATCTCCGACAGTGCCGGACTTAAAAATTTGACTTTTGTAGGTCACTGATTTTGATTTTATTTATTTTAGGTGGAAAAGAAAATTGAACCCAATATTTGATTTAAAAAAATAATAAAATTTACTCAAGGTTTCTTCGATCTGTCATTATTCGTAGCATGTGTTTAACAAACAATTCTTTACTAGTATAATAATAAGATTTTAGATAAATTTTTTAATTAAAGTAATAATTAAACATTTGTCATATTTTGCCTATATTAATTACCAATTTATTACAAAAAAAAAATACATAAATAAATAGTGAAATAAAATAAAGAAATGGATAGGAGATAAATACAAAAAAAGAATAAAAGAACATAGTTTTTTTGCTCGAAAAAATGAATCAGTATATAAGATATGGCTGGGGCGGGGCTAAAATTAGTGTTTAAAACCGTAAATAAATATAATGTATATTAATTTTGTTAGTTTTTATTGATAGTAAAACAAAAGCACAGATATTGATCTAGATTGATTTAACAACTTAGTGTTAATTTATGATAGGAACCTTCGATAGTTGACATATACACTCAACATTCCACCCAAACAACCGTCGCTAAATATTCGCCCAATGGAAATTATATAGCTTCTGCAGGTATGTTAGTTTTTTCCCTCGACTTAAGCATCGATTTATGTATTTTATCGCTTGAATTTTAGAGTTTTTTTTCAAATTTTATTTATAACAGATATACAAAAAAATAAGGTAAAACCATAGACTTCTATGGGTAAAACTCAACTAAGTATCCCATTTCATTGAATGCATTTTTAAGGTCTACGTATTAATAAATAATTCAATATTCGTTTTTTTATCGTATTACTTATAGGAATAAAAGTATGCCTGGGAAGTTTCCTATAAAATGAGAATTATGTTTGGAGGGGGGCTGATATAAATAGGACACACGCAATTATCACCCTATAAAGGTCAAATTTTTAAACCTAGCCCAAGTTAATAATTTTTAAACCAGGCCCGGATTTTCAACATTATAATTATTTTTATCACCTGACCCGAACCTTTAAAATGTTGTCATATGGGTTTCGAATGGAAATTAATAATTAGACATGAATGAATGAATACTTCATTATATGAATTTACCAACAAGTTAATTTGTAAAAATTTTATATCAAAAAATCTTATCCTGGTTTTATTATTATTTTTTAGTCTGTTGCTTTGCGGCCTACTTCAAATCAGGTTTTAGCCCCTGCCGGCAAGTTTCTGAATATAAAATATGTATGCCGTAAAAATGACGCTGCGTCTTTTTTTTCTCAACAGATGCGGAGTGTTGTAGTCCTAAAATTTGGGGCGGGGGCACGCTATTCTCAAAAAATATAGGGGACACGCCAAAATTGTAAAAAATAGAGGCGAATTTTTCTTTTTCCAAGAATTGGACGCAAATATTTTTAAAATTTTTTTATTTATTTTATTATTAGTTTATATATAGAGGCATTTCATACACAATGCATTATATTTATCTGGGCCGGGTCTGAAATTAAAATACCCGGACTAGGCCGTATATTTTAAAACCATATTTTAAATCGCCATTATTAGCTACAAAAATTTTAAATAAATGTAATATATTTTAAAAAAATCCGGGCCGAGCCTGAAAATTTATTTTAAACAAAATACGGACCGGCCTAAAAATATAAAACCTAGGCCGAAAATTTTTATGAAAAGATGGTACCTCTGCAGGTCTCTGATATTTATATTATAAAAAATAGCTATAATGACGTAAAAATGCATTTCATAATTATATTATATGATAATGCATAAATCGATATATCAAAAAAAAGTGTAAATAAACTACAATATTCGCCCTTAATAAATCTTTTTCAATATTTTAGATTCATTATTTGTTATCGTTTGCAGATCTGTGACTTGTCACCCGGATAAGAAATCAATTGACTGAGAGGGGACTGGTTAACGTTTTCATCATATAACTGGAAATTCGTTTTATCGTAAGACTTACAAGCCAATCCATATTAATGGCATATTTATAAGGTGAAAGTCGCGCTCATATCCAGCAAACTGTACTAGACGGAATTATGTTAATTCAATTTTGAAACTTTTTCAAATCACAGAGACATTTATTACCTTCATTATTATCATATATATGATCCCCCTCATCCCATTTATTGCGAGATCCACATCGAGTTTCAGTTGGAAATAAATTTGTTTAATTTGCTCTTCCCTATAACGAACGAGAGGGTGTGCTAGCCAGTTATCTTTTTCTAAGTATTTCGTGTCAGATAAGATAGCTAAAGCTAATTACCAAAATTATCGGAATAAGCATCCAAAGGCAAGGGCAACAATGAATTAATTTTCACTGATACCAGAATGCTTTCTATTTTCCCTTAGCTTCTTGAGACATTTTCATATGCCATTTAGAAATCATCACCTGAGATTTAGATTACTCCATTTCCACTTTTTTTAATTTTACAGGAGAGTAATTTTAAAAATTAAATTTCTATTGTTTTCAATATGATGGCTGATATTGGCTTTAATTTAATTTATAAATATTATGGGGTTTTTATGTAAATAAGAAATAATTAAATTGATTTATGTAAAAAAGACATTTTTGACAAAAGGTCGATATGGAATAACCCAATTCTCAGGTGATGAAATATTAAAACATTTATTTCGAAATTATAAAAGAGATTAAACGATTTTAGAACATGAATCGTTCGCTTTATAGATTTTTCAGCATTAGATAAACGGATTGTTTTTGTCCGAAGTTCTAGAGATAGATTGAATAAATCAAATACATTAAAGCGAGATCTGATAAAATATGACCGTTTTTTAACCGGGTGGACAGCCCGTTAAATTTAGCACTGTTGCTAGAATTTGCTGATTTTTTCAAAAGCGTATACAGTGCCTCATAGTTATTCTATTTAATAGTACAAAGACTGCTATCCATCGTACAAGTACCCTTTCAATATTTAGCAACTGATTGTCTAATTCAGACGCTTGATCCAAAGCCTCTTGATTTTTGTTAAACTGGCTATATAATTGGGTTAAAAAAGGCTTTAAAGTGATTAATACCTGTAAAACTTTTTATTGCATCGGGCACTGCTAATTTTAAACGCTGATTTAAACAATTCCAGGGTATGATCGTTGGGTGTAATGCCCAAAGCTCTTTGCTACATCTGATTTATTCCCAGTCATGATAGTGGCGCTATCGTTAACAAGGTAGGTCTAGAAATTTAAAAAAGGATCATAATAGGAGATATTTTATATTTATTTATATCATTCGTGAGCAGTTGATTTAGGAGGACGATGAATTATTAACTAGGCAGAATATATAAAACGCAAAATATGTCCCATATGTTATTTAAGATTCGAAATCCACAAACGGGCTTTAATTTTGCAAGATAATGCCGTTGTCAATTTTGTTTATCAATGTGATTAGCCATTTTTAATGCATGCTCTAGTTATAAAAAATTTGTAATATTTTTCATTTTTATAACGCTATACGCGAACAGTCAAAACTGATTCAATAATATTCCCCTATTTCTATCGGATATTCTTTTAAAACCAATTAAAATAGTGAATGTTCGTTTTTTTGATTCAAAACATAAAATTACATTAATACTCTTAATTTGTTTATAGAATATTTTATGTTTCCTTCATGATATAAAAAAAATATTAATAATATGTTAAAATACCATTTTAAAAAAATGAATTTTTTTTATATTTTTTGAAAATTTCTGGCTCGGGCACGCGACTACATCCCTGCATATGCACTACTCATTGATTTTTTTTAACTAGATTCATGTGTCCAAACTTTGTATATCAAAGTAAATGCCAACATGCTTTAAATTATAATAATTTAAATTTTAAAAATGTTATGGAACAAATTTAAGATGCATTTGGAAAAATACGTATCTGGGATGCCATAAATCCTACCCACATTCTTAAAAACGAGTTTCAACCAATGTTCGGTGCTATAAAAGACTTATCCTGGTCTCCAGACAATCAAAAGCTGGTTATGGTGGGCGAAGGAAAAGAAAAGTTTTAACTTTAATTTTTTTTTGTTGGGTTAAATAAGATTTATATAAATATTTCTATAAGAATACTTTATTTGGGTGCTCACTATATATATTTAATAGTGAGCACAAATTGAGCCTTTCAAACGCTGCGATGTAAAACGCAAATAGCATTTCAAATGGTATTATGCTAATTTGTCAAATTCGGGCTTGGCTCTAGTAACCATCTTTAAAACGCAAACAGGGGTTTAATTTAATAATTTAGATTTAACATTTTTTTTTGTTCCAAACTAATATAATCCACTTTTTTTTATAATATTAAAAATTCCGCCTCAATTTTCTCATCAAAAATTACGGCAAAATGCAAGCGCTCAATTTGTGCGCACTATGAAGAACGTTCTCTTTTGTTTAGTCAGGGAATATGTAAATACCAAAATTTCTATAGTTTCATACAAATTATTTGTGAACATTTATCCTCCCTAACAAAACGGCTCAAATATTTTCCCACTTTTTTTAAGCATCTGGACGAAAAGGGAGTTTAGTTTCCTAGTGCCCGGCCTAATTATTTGTAGGAAAGTGGTCCTGGTTCCTAAAATTTTTTAAAGCGGCTTTCACTTATTAGATTTGTGCCATTGCGAGGATTCTAGTTTCTGCTTATAATCGAAGTAAGACATAACTAGATGGTCAGGTGGATAATTTAGTTAGGAAAATGACTTCTCGTTTCTCAAGCTTATTAAATATTTTTTTTAATCATTATTATCAGAATCAAAATTAACCTCCAATATTCGTATATATATTATCAATAACTTTTAATCTTTAAGGAAAATAATTTTTAAAAAATCTATAAACTAGAAGGAAAGACAAATAAGCCAAAAAGATAGAAGAAATAATTTTTAAGATATGGTTACTATTCGCTCTACCACGTTAAATTACACATGACCAAAAAAATTATTATGAAATAAAAAGAATGTATTATGATAAAAAAAAAATTCTTATACTTCTATAGGTTCGCCCACGTTATGAGTGCCGATACGGGTACCTCTCTGGGCGAAATAATAGGTCACTCTCGCCCTATCAACTCGTGCGATTACAGACCGATTCGTCCTTTTAGAATCATATCTGGTAGCGACGAAGGCAATATAGTCGTGCATCAAGGACCCCCTTTCAAATTTCATTGCGCAATTGAAGTTTGCTTTCTAAAAAATATTTATTTCTTTTTAAGTTCTTTCTTATACATTTTTTAAATGAATAAAATAATTCATAAATTAATTTTCATTTACATTTTTTTCCTATTTATTTATCAAGGAACACAAAAAATTTATCTTTTGCGTACGGTACTCACCAAATGGTAGCCAATTTGCCTCCGCCTCAGCTGATGGAAGGGTTTAAAATATATTATTTATATATATAATTGGTTTTTATTAAACTTTATAAAAAATATTATAAAATTAAGTATTTTGGTTTATTTTTAAGAAACTTTTTTTATTTTTATAATTCATATTTTAGTTATATGATCTTCCAATTTGCAACTAGTTCATTTAATTATGTGGCAATTTTTAACCAGAGAAAATTTTTGATCGAAAATCCTTGAAGTTTTTTTTTTAAAAAAAAACTCTTGTTATTATTTTGAGCGTGAAAATCACAAAAGATTTAATTATAAAAGATTTTGTCATTTTTATAGGTAGATTTTATCAAAAATCTCTTCAAAGCTCAAAAGGTTTTTGAAGATGTTTTTCAAACTCGGTTTTTAATCTTATCATTGTTCTAATAAACCAAATTGATTATTTATTGCTTGGACCAATATGTTTACAGTTTCATATTTGCAACACAATCAATTGATTGTATTAAATTACTCGATCTTAAAGCCCGGAAACCAAGAATTTTTAACACTTTTAGTTATTTTTTTAGTTCGACTTTACTTTATTTTTATGAATCCACTTAAAGGAAGATTACTTTTTTTCACTTAATTTGCACTTGTTTATTATTACCTAATATAATATTTTTTTTAAAGATTTTGATATTTGATAGCGAAACCTGCGAAAAGGTAGCAGAATTGGGTTCCCCAGCTCACGGCGGCAGCGTTTACTCGGTAATGATAAAATATATCTTTAATTTTTACGCTTTTTATAAGGATAAATTTGTTGGCTTGAAAGATAGTGAAATCATTATATGGGTGAATGAGGTCTAATAACTATGGAGTAGAGGGTAGAATTTATTGTCCACTCCAATTGAATTTATGCATCCCCCTCTCCTTCATGGAATTTGATTTATATACAAAAGTAAATTGTGATTACTTAATAATTTATATTCTGAAATCGATAAATGATATTAAGTAATTAATTGATACCTGATCTCAATAAAATATAGATAAGTTGGGACCCTAACGGAACTCATATACTCTCTTCTTCCGGCGATAAGACTTCCAAGATATGGGACATTAATACTAAACAAATGTCCAAGTTAAAACAAATATGATTATATATATTTTTTTAAATTAAATTATCCTTTTTCCTTTCCTATCTTCTATATTAAAAAAACCCCCTAATAATTTCTGCGTTATAGTAATTAATTTGTTTCATTCCAGATCAACAAGGTTTATTAAAATAAGGGAAATTTTCTCAGAATTTTTCAAAAGTAAAGATATATAACCCCTATTTTTTTCTATTTTACGTATTTAAAAAATACGCCATCCAGACAGATAATTTTAATAAAATTTCTTATGATATATGAGAAACTAAAGGGTTAATAATATAAATTAATAAATAGAAATCTGAAAAAAGTAATTTAATTTAGTTTGACGGTAGAATCATTGGTGAAGTAAGTTTAAAAAAATTTGCCAAATCATTCTAACGAAATCGGACATATATTCAGTAGTTGCTGGATAATTAAGATGGTTGCATCTCCCTATTTTTATGACGAAATGATATTAATGACATGCTTTAATATCAGTTAGATTTAAAAAGTTTATTAAATAAAAAAGTTCATTTGAAAAACTTTTATAAATGGGAAAGTAAAAGGAGATGTAACTATATAATATTTAAGAGAATACTAAAAAATAAAAATGAATAATATTTTAAAATAAATTTTTTTATTTTTTTTAAAAAGCTGCTTCAAGTTCGGAAACGATGTTGACGATATGCAAGTGGGAAATTTGTGGCAAGGCTTCCATCTGCTATCTGTTTCCTTGTCTGGTTATATAAATTACTTGGATCCGAAAGTGGCCGAACCAGTGAGAATATTACAGGTTTAGAATTAGATTCATATTTGTGTTTGGATAAATCTAGATAAAAGCTCCTACATTCTTCAGTTATTTTTGAATGTTTCAATTAAACGATTGAATTTTTTATTATAAGAATCGGTCATAATAATGAAGATTTTAATTATTTGAAAGAATAGATTATATTTTTAATTTTTTAATAAATCAATAGGGTCATAACCGTCCCATAACAGCCATGTGCGTTACTCCAAACAATACGTTCGTTACCGGCTCAGTTGATGGGCATGCAGATATCCTTTTATTTCATTTTCAGAGAAATAACATTCATAAATTTCAATTTTACTTTTTTTAAAAAAAATGATACAAAGAACGATATATATTTTTTTGGTAGTGGATTTCATTTTAGTCCATTTGAACCCATATTCTAAATATTTGTTGCGATTTATGAGCTTGTGACTGATTTAAAACATAAATGGGCCTTCTTTCTCTTGTGTCTGGACATCTTTTTATGGAACTTGACTTGTTCAAGACGGACTATGCATGGATGATAGCCACATCCTATGCTATTGTATTTACAGTCTCATCTTCTTTAAAAAGATCCTTTTTAAAACTTTGGCAAAATACATTAACATTATTAATATCTTAAGAATATGATAGAATATTCACACTTTATGAGAAGAAAGAAAGTTTACAAAGGTTTTCCTGGCAGTGAGTGATCACTATCTGGTGCGCGTTGGTATTTTGAATCGTTCTCTGCGAATTTCATTGTTGTGGAGTGATATTTACTGGGTTAGGTTTGCTTTCATTACCTGGTATATGCTATACATACTTGGGAAGGAAAGCTAAGTTTGTTGCTTTAATGTCATAACTCGCACCTGACGACTCAATTGCTCGTGAACATTTCCACCACAACCCAGGAAGATGAAGTGCAGGAATTTACATTTCTCCTAAATAAAGTAATCCTAATAATGAGGTCTGGGTGCGGTACTCTATTGTTGTAGCTATTATGGTTTACTTTTTTAAAATTTCTCTGTTATAGTTTTTGAAATTTTCAGTCAAATTATAGGCAAAGCTTTTATCGACTGTATAACATTTAATTTTCCACAGTTTCTCGATTTCTTGAGGTTTATCGCTTCAATATCTGTCCATTTCTAATGCTGCTATATTATTTAATGGTGTACATTGGAACTCTTTAAAATTTGTATTAGTTTTACTACAACGTGAACATCTATATATTTTATAACGATTTCGGTTAGACTCAACAGCACCGAATGCCTAGGTTAGTGTCCTGCGCAGCCTCCTCAAATATTTTTAAATTATGAAATAAAAGTATATAAATTAGATTTGCTTGCTTATTCCCTGAATGTTATACAATCAAACCGAGTTTGGGTAATTCTCTACATCTAATATATTGATTTTAGCATAATTTAAAACAAAAATGACTCGAACCCTATGTGTTAGATTTAGTCTATATTATTAAAAAACAATTAACCAAATATAAATAAATGCGCCTATAGAAGGTGTCTATATTTTAATTTTTTAGCTACTACCTCCACAAGTAATTCGTCGTTGAAATTAAAGGGGGCTGGTACTTAGAAAGACGCTATCGTCATTTGAATAAAAATGGGGGGGGGGGTGTTTAGATTTATTTTCTTTGCTAATTTAGATTTGTATTTCCTTTTTTGTGCAAATTTTGATTTGATAGGAGGGTAGTGGGAGGTGAAATTAAGAGGGGGTAGGGAGAAATCGCCTTTGGTTTAGGTGGTATAGAAGTCTCTGTACAGTAGGTAGTAAAAGTAACCACATCTAACTGCATGACCATGACATTTGTAGAAATAAAGATTCAAAACCATAACATGCACTGCGTTTTAACTTTTAAAGAACATTGTACCTTGGACCATTCTCCAACCAAATTCTTGTTCGGTACAAATTGATCTAAAAGTTGGGGTTGACGTGACCTGTGCGTTCAACATGTTAGAGAGTCACTAGCGACAAAAAAAAGGGAACGATGGTGAAACTTATAAGATCCTTGAATTCTCTTTGGTAGTTTCATATTAAATGGAGGCAGAACTATCTAGTTCCTATCTTCAAAAATAAAGGGGATCCACATAATTGTCAAAATTACAGGGGCATAAAACTAATGTCACACTGTCTAAAACTATACGAAAAAATAATAGAAAAAAGATTAAGAGATATAATCGAACTAGGAGAGACTCAGTTTGGCTTTATGCCTGGAAGATCAACAACCGAAGCTATCCACGCAATTAGGCAAATGAGTGAAAAATACAGGGAAAAGAACAAAAAGCTACACATGGTCTTTCTCGATCTAGAAAAGGCCTTTGATAGAATCCCAAGAAAATTTATCTGGTGGGTGCTACGCCACAAAAATGTTCCCGAAAAATATATAAGAATAATACAGGATATGTATATGGGCCATACAACAATGGTCCGTAGCACAACAGGTACTTCAGCAGGCTTCACAATAGCCGAAGGAGTTCATCAAGGGTCGGCTCTCAGCCCACTTCTCTTCATTACAGTAATAGATGTATTAGCACAGTCTATACCTCAAAAAGTCCCGTGGAATATGATATTTGCAGATGATATTGTGATACTTGCCGAATCTAAGGATGAAATAAAGAAAGACTAGTGAGTTGGATAAATATCCTAGAAACGCACGGATTAAAAGTAAATAGAGAAAAGACGGAGTATATGGTGATAGGAGGAGATAAAATAGAGAGTATTGATATAAATGAATGGCAGATATCGGCAATTGAAAGCTGCAAATATTTGGGCTCCACTATACAAACAAACGGCACAATAGAAAAAAAGATAAAGAGTAAGATTAATCAAGGGTGACTAAAGTGGAGATCTTTATCTGGAGTGCTATTTGATAAAAGAATCCCACACAAATTAAAGGGAAAAATTTACAGTTCCATAATACAACCAACTATTCTATATAGTTCGGAAACATGGCCAATCAAAGAATCAGACGAGAGAAGTCTACAAACCATGGAGATGAGAATGCTGAGGATGATTGCTGGGGTAACAAGAAAGGATAAAGTGCGCAGTACAAGAATACTAAGTAGTTTAAAGGTAGTGCCCATTAAGACTAAGTTAATGTTAAACAGACTTAGGTGGTATGGGCACACAATGAGAAGACCTATGAACTACATAGGAAATAAAGTTAAGAGTTTGGAAGTGATGGGCAAACGTAAAAGAGGAAGGCCAAAACTTCAATGGGGCCATTAAGTTAGAGCCAATATAAAGAAGTATAAATTAGATAAAAGAGATTCTATTAATAACATAAAGTGGAGAGAGATGTTGAAGGAGCTTACCACCAGAAAAGGTGAAAGCTAAGAGAAAAAAAATATTAAAAGTGAACACATGCTATAAACATATTACATTGATAGGGAGGGGAATAATATCTAATTCATTAATTTTGTTTGCCTTAACTCACGCATTACTGCGCTGGAGCCTGGAGAAAGGAAAGGATCCCAAGAGATTTACTGGCCATGCTCATAAAAGCCAAGTTAATAGTTTGGCTATTAAAGACGATACATTGGTTTCATGTAGTGTTGATGATACGGTTAAGTTTTCCGACATTAGCAAAGCTCAATGGGGGTTAGAAATATTTTACATATAATATAATTGTAGTTGTTCAATCACCTAACCTTGGCCAACTCCAAAACGGCATATTTTTATACTAACAAAACTTTAAGTTGGCCATTTTGTTAGGCAAAAAGCATGTCTTGTCATTTTAGAATTGGCCATAGTTAGATCATTTAACAAGAGTAGTTTGTGTATATATATTACTTCTTGGAAGGAATAATAAATAAAAAATGAGAAACTTAAAGGGAATTATAATTTGTACATATTTTTTTGAATAATAGGGAAATATAATACAGTAAAATAGAGGTAACAAGAACATTCAATATCGAGTATGAATAACACGATATTCAAATTGCGAATATCTAACAATTATTAATATATATATTTTTTTTTCTTCTAGTGAAAAAAGTGTTAAGTTAGAATCACAACCTAAATGCTTGGCCATAGGCAAAAGTGGGAACGTGATCGTGGCCTGTTACAAGAGTGTAAGAATTAAAATTTTATAATATTATTCTCCTTTCCATTTATTTATTCTTTTTTGACTTTAGTAAACCTCTAATCAAAAACTACACAAATTTTAAGAATTTCAACCGGGATAAATCATTTATCCAATATGGATGATAAATTCTTAATTTTATTTGATTTAATAAAATTTTCGCCAATAAATCTTAATAGTTTCATACAAATTTTATGTGAGACTTATAACTATCTAATCAATTTCTCTTATAAAAAAATCAACTTTAAACCTAATGCATTTCAAATTAATCCCCAGTATCAGCATCATATCGATATACTAGGCAACACAATATAGAGACATGCTTGTTGGAAATTTGTTTTTTAATTAAAAATTCCCAGCCGGGCTCGGGCTAAAAAAAAGAAAAGAAGAGCCCTAATGTATTTGCCATTAACAATACTTTTAATTCGTTCCTAAATAGTTTTTCTCTATTTATTTTCCAATTAACAACCATACATGTAACCAATATAATGACTGGTGCATTTTAAAATCCTTTTCGATTTTCTTTATATATTTTTCAATCTAGCCATGTCATCTATAATTTAAAAAAACATTTTATACAATTTGACATAATCATTATTCATGGTGCTAGCTTCCTAACACATGAGGCATCTGGCCCTGTTAGATATAATCTGCTCTCCAATTAAATGGAGTCAAGCGATCTAAAGTTTGAAACCGAGATTAGTCCGATTCCTAAACTTGCCACGGCCCCATATTCTGGCTCCGTTTTCAAATTTAAGCAATGAATAAACCCTCATTAACAATATTAACAAATCATTTTGAACAATATAATATAAATTAATAGCACTTTTGTTATAACCAGTTGCTATTAATTTTAAACTGTGTTAGTTTTTGTTCCTGTGTATTTTTAAGAAAAGATTTCGGTTCTTAGATTGTTCTGTGGTTCAGGGCTCCGGTTTCAAGCTGCTAGTGAACCTCGTAGAATTCCCACCATTGGGGTTTGAGTCAATTTATGTTAAATTATAGTCACCAATAAATAAACATTTATTTTTAAAAATATGATACAAACTCATCAATTTAAATTTTATTTAAAAATAAATAAATCAAGGTTACATTTATAGACGCCCAAGGAAATGTGGAAACCATAATTCCTAAAACCTATGAACCCTTATCCGTGGCAATTAAATCTGATGATTCCATCGTAGCTATTGGGGCTTCTAAAGTTAAAATTTTCTTATATTATTTGATATCGGTAAGTTTGATAATTACAAGGATGAATCGAAGAAATAATTAATAAGGAAGTAGTGATCGATTTATATATGTAAATTAGAAATGATATAGATATATTTTAAATAGAATTTAATTTACCCCCCACCCCCGACATTTATCCAAATCTATTTTCAATCTATGTGCTGAGAATTTTGATAAAAAATTGTAACTTATTTATTGATTTTAAAACTATATTTTACGTCTTTTTTCGTTAATTTCACAATACGAGTAATAAAGAATATTATCTTTAAAAAACAAAACACGTTTATTTCAAAAAACATTTAATTTTTTTAAATTTTAAAAAGGATTTTTTTTTCATCGCGCATCAAATATTTAGTCATTATCGATTAGTTTTTGGGGCCAAGACCGAAATTTACAATTGATAGGTTATCTAAGGTAATACAATAGTTTACTTCAACATTAAGAATTTGTCACGAGAATTCTTGCTAAATTTTGCGCAACAATAATGAAGGCTTATAAAAAACATAAATATCTTATAAAATATTAGAGGAGGTTTCCCCCCCCCCCCCGATATTTCACAAAAAATTGAAACTTAAAAAAGGAATATATATATCAGGTAAAAGTAATTTTTTTTATGCCTACTTGGTCTCATTTGTTCAAAAGTCTTCACGTTGGTTAGCAAAACTATTTTCTGGTCTGGGCCATGCTAATATCTAATCTCCTTCATAATATAAATATAAAACATTTTTTAAAAAAAATTTTCGCAGGACCAAAAATGCCACGTTTACAAGCTGACTAAGAGTGGGAAAGATTACGTACTTGAAGCCCTGATGGAAATCCCGCAAACAGGATCAGTCACATCCGTAGATTTCTCATCTGACGGAACTTCTTTTGCTTCCTCTAATGCCGATAGAAGGGTCTTTTTGTACAACGTCAGCGATTATTCGGTTTTTTATTAAATATTTTGTTCTCCTTCTTTCCCTTTAAATTCTGATTTCAAAAATGTGACAAACTTCCTTAGTCCCCAATTCTTCTAATGTATTCCCTAATAATACTTATTTTTATAATGGTCACTTAGCCTTATAATAGTTAAAATATAAGATATTAAAATACGCACAAATAGAAAGCCAATATGTTCGACTGGTGTTTTCACACTTCCAGGGTCAATTCTGTTAAATTCTCCCCCGATAATAAGCACCTGGTTAGTGGTGGAACCGATAGCAATATAATGGTATATTTCATGGACAACCACATAACCGTTATTCAAATTTTAAGTTCGAAAAACATTTTTATTACCATTCACCAAAAATTTTATTTAAAATGGTGCTAAAATATGTAAATTCCTTTTTTTTTAAACAACGTTTGAATTATTATTGTTACTTTATGTAATCTAATTATTATGAGAAATTAAAAAAATGAAAAGTAATTTTAAAATTTAATTTTAACTTTTTTTTACAGGCGCTCATCCTCTTAGCACAATCAATAAAGTTGAATGGTTGAAAGATGATACTGTTATATCTGCGGGTCATGATGCATGTTGCAAAGTTTGGAAATTGTTTTATGATGCTACATGATTGGGTATTAGTTTACCCAGAGAACGTTTGCTAAATATATGAATACTTATAAAAAATACATAAAGCTTTAGTTAAATTTTTATAGTATTATGCCAAAAATGAATTTTTAAAGAATTACTTCGCATTATTTATCTAGCCAATTTTGTAGTGATTTTTTATTTTATTTAATCCAAAAAACATGAAATTTATTTTTGTAATTAGTAGCATAAAAACATCGTTTATTATTTATATTAATTTATATTGTCATTTTTTAATATGGATATTTTATGCTTTGTAGAAAATATGAAATAATGATATATTTATTAGTCAATGCCCAAGTGGTTTTAAGATTAATTTTAAAATTTGGAATGAACTAAATAAAGGTTTGAAGATAATATATGTTGTTAACTTAATCTATCATACCACTTTTTACGGAATTAAATATATCTAAAATACATTTTACTTCATTCATTGGCTGGGCAAAGGGAGTGAGGATTCCCTCTCCATAGTTTGCCTATTTATTAAAATTTAATGTTAACAAACTGGAGTTGGGTACTTTTTCCATTTTGGAAAACCTCTATGCAATTAATGTTTGATGATATAATCATTTTTTGATAACGGTTTTCCAGGTTTACCCGGGTAAATCAATTTCCTCTCTGATCCCTATGGTCTTTGCCATCGCTTATATACCCTTTGTTCTCACGTTATCCCAGGAGGCCTTGATTCCCTTTACTTCTATCAATTTGTATCCCTAAATATTTTTTTCAGTATCCAAAACCAACTCAGTCTGTTTTGTCTCATCTCCTCCTAATCGCTTCAGTTCCATTCCTTTCTCACAATTCCTTGTTTATTTTTCTTTCATTAAGGTACCTAACACATCCATATAACCATTCTCGTCCCTTTAACATAAAAGAGAAAATTTTATTTGTTAGCATACATAACATCTCAGAACTTCTTCTATGAATAACAATATTAGATCAATAACTCCCGCTTGCTTTCACCATGACCCTAATAACAAAACTTTCCCACTTTTCCCAAATATCTCCATTACCGATATAATATCCAACCTATATCATGGGATCTTTTCACGCATGTTATATAGATATATGTCACGATACCTATCTTCAGACTATTTATTTTTATCGGCAAATTCAGCTCTATCTATTGGCCCATGCCGATGAAAATTCTGTTTTTTTTTTCAAAGTTGAGCTATATAAAGAAAAACCCCAAGCAGAGGTCTTAATTTTTTTTTATCTAAAAGATAGATTTCGTCTTATTTTTAGCTGCTAAAAATAGAGTAATCATCCAACTAGTTTCGTGCAATATTGAATTATATTAGAGCTGTTCCGATCCGATATTACTAAAACTCCTATCTGATATTTATATTGATTTTTATTTGCCACCTATCTTTGAACCAATGTTATAAAAATATCAATGTTTTCTATTTTAAAATATCCCAACTAACTTTCACGAATGATTAAGTGTATTTTGTTTTTTTATTATCAAAAAGTTAATAATCTGATTAAAATATTTGTAGTGTTTATGGGTAAATATATAGTGTTAAATAGCTTCATTTGAACGATTTTTAAAAAGGGAAATCAAGATTTAGTAATAATACCTAAGCTTCGAAATTTCGCCAATAGATGTCCAAACCTTTCTGTCATATGTCATCATTTTCAAAAATTGCCTAAATTGAGCCATTTAACAACACTAGCTAAATGTGATCGTTAGATATTTTAAAATCCTTTTCTTGTTGCAGATAATATAATAAAAAATAGTTTAAAATTTTTTACCATTTTTTAAACATCACGACAATAAACTCTATCAGTTCCTTTTATTAATTTATTATTATAAAATATTTTTATAAAATAAAAAAGATTAAATAATTATATTTACAATAAAAAAAATATCAGCCCGATCCGATATTTAAAATAAAAGCTAAATATCGGTGCCAATTTGATCCAATATTTAATATCGGCTTCATCGAGAAGCTCTTTCCGACGTGATATGGATGGTCATTAAATTCGAGGGCAATTAATAAAAGAAATATCTATAGCTTATTAAAATATATATTTGAATGCTTCTTTTGGACGATCACTCTTTCCGAGGCATATTAATTTAACTTATTCAAAAAGTAGCAAATATTTCTGGCCTACATTTGTGAATATTTCCTCTAAGGCTTTACAGTTTTATAGAAGAAGTCGGTGAGTATGGCCTTGTCCAAGTATTTGGCGCTTTTATTTTATGAAAAATTTTAAGTCATCCTTTCAATAAAACAAAATGTAAGTTATGGTACAGAGGTATTAACAGACGTGAAAAAAACTACAATAATTTAAGCATTATATTTGGTTCGTATATATAGGTATTTATGAATAAATCTGGAATATTTTTTATGATAAAGATATAAGATAACAACTATAAATTATGATATAAAATTTAAAGCAACAGACATAAAACAAACTTTAAATTATAAGTACATATCTTAATATATATTTTATGATTGTGGCTTCCTATTGCTAACAATTCCATTATAGTACAATTTATACCCATCTCCAATCATCAAAGTCTTCTGTCCCTTCCATTTCGTCTCTTGTATGCACGCTATATCAACTTTTCTCTTGTTCAACATTGATGCCAATTCTCTCGTCTTACCTTTAAGCGTCCCAATATTCAAACTTGCTAATCTTGTCTTCTTTGCTTTGACCTTTACTTTACTTTTCACAGGATGGAGGTCTACACCCTGCGCGTCGCTTGGAGGGAACGCCCTAGCTTTCATATTCATATTTCCATTTGTTTCCTTCATTTTGTTTATTGGACAGGCATCCTTATCACCCGGCTGTCCAGGCCTGTCAGTGACCGGGGTGTCATCTTTAAGCTCCGAAATTCATCTTATCATATGTCTTTACACATCAGTCATCGAAGAAAAACTTGAAAGTTTTTATGCTCCTTACCAGGATTCTGCGTCCTTCTGTTTCTAAGCATACATCTAACCCATTAGGCCACCCCGGCGATGAAAATTAATAATAAAAATATAACTGAATTATAATATTTAAGACTTTAAAATAAAAGAAATGCTACATTCAATTACAATACTATAACAAAATAATGCACTTCACCTTTATTAGAATTTTTGTTTTAAGGACCAATGAAAATAGGTAGAGGGTTTTTTTAGTTTGAATGAGTTGGGCTAGATTAAAAAACCCCATTAGTAATATTGGCCGTTGAACATTGAATTGCATTAATAATATAAACCTATACTGAACAAAAAATATGAGTTATTTTTAAAAGTTTCATATCTGCCTGCCTCAAAAAATCATGATGCAATGGGTCATTTTCTCTTTTAGCCGCCACCACCTTCACCTGCCAGCTCTGAATGTTAATATTGTTTCATAGACATTTAAAAATATAAATATATTTTTTAAATGGAATAATCCATTCATTTGCATTTATATGTACATTAATATTGATATATTTTTCTTTAGATAGCGATAAACCTCTTCACTCTTCAATATTAGTTATATAAATAAGATTATGATAATTAATATGATGTTTTATTTTTTACCTATTCCAAAAAATATATTAAAAATTAAGCTAGGCTTGAGTTTAATCTCCTTTTAAGGAATTTTTCTCTAAATAGAACAAGGTCGCTAAGTGTATTTATTTAACTTTATAAAAAAATAAGTTTAATTTATGCTAACTTCTGTCTGAGCTCGGATTTAAAATAAAGAGTCCAATTAGGGCTTAAAAATAAATTTATTTTCATGGATCTATTTCACATCTCTGACAAAATAATGCTAAAATCATAACCTTTCCTTAGAAAATATATCTTGATTCAAAAAGGTTTACCTCTATTTGCCAAATCTCGAGACTTACATCATATTATTTTGGCTACAATCTTTATCGGTCCGTTTTTAAAAATCTACCTAAAGCAATATTGCTATAGATTGTGGTCATACAAATAAATTTATAAAAAGAAGAAAAAAAAATACATAGCTAAAAATACTTTTTTTTCTATGATAGTGAAGTGAGCGGTCAGAAGATTGGAAACATTTATTCCAACAAAAATCTTACAAGTACCCTTTCCTTTCCTTAACACAAATACAAACAATAAAAATTTTTAGGCAGTAAAATTAATATAGATGAATTTTGACTCACTCGTGTTCCGAGAAAAAGCTTTCCTCTTAGTGTTCATACAAAAATGAAAATTTTTATTTTAAAATAATACATAAATAAATTTGGTTTGTCTGTGAAAAGTTCGAAATTCAGTTAAGAGAGTAATTTTTATAATTCATACTATATTATCAAAACTAAATATATTTGTTCGAACAGTAAACTTTCTTTCTAATTTCTTCTATAACTTCCGGAGTGTCTAATTAACTCAAATAAACATAATAAAAATTTTTGGCAGTAAAATTAATATAGACGCGTGTTTTGATTTGATTCGTGCTCCGAGAAAAATCATCCCCTTTATATTCATACAAAATGCTTTTTTAAAAATATAATATTATAAATAAATTTGTTGTCCCTATGAAAAGTTCTAAATTCAGTGAAAAAAAAATTAAAATAATATTATTATAATCGAAACTTAAAATTTATTTGTTCGAACCTGGTTTCTTATTAACAAATAAATTTTAAATAATATTATAAATAAATTTTTTGTACCTGCGAAAAGTTCGAAAATATTCATTTGTATAATTCAAATAATATTGCTGTAATTTCGAAACTAAATTTATATGTTCGAACAGAAAACTTTCCTGTCAATTTCTTATTATAACTTTTGAAGTAAATTATTTTTCTTACAAATTATCTGGATATTAGAAAATTCGACACAATTATATAATAATTAATAAATTAGAAAGAATAAGAAACATAAATAAAATATGGTTTGTGAAACATTTAATTTATAAAGAGAAACTTCTTGATAAGTAGCTAAAAACGAGCAGAGTTTATTTTAAATATAAATCTATTATTTTTTTCTTCCAAAAAAAATATTTATCATTATCACTTACTCGTAAAAAAACTACTTAACAAGACGATTCCATTTCATTAAAAAAACGAAGAAAAGGGGTGAAAGAAAATGATGGGAAATTAAGATGTCCGAATTTTTTCTTTTTTTTTTTGCATTTTTTAATCTTGAAAACGCTCAATCGAACGTGTATAAAATTTTTTAAAACTAACGTTCGACTTAAACGGTCACAAAATTAAAAAAAATAAACCCATTTTTAGAATAATCGATT